TATTTCGCATTGCATGACCGGGTCGGAGAGTAAAACATTGAAAGACCGATGCAATGAAGGAGTTTAACGAACTTACTGAAGCACGTCGTAAAGCTTTGCTCTCCCACGATTGTCCCTAGCTTCGTCCCCGCGAATCGAAATGCGAAGCGGCGGCCAAGAAGAAGAAGAACAAGAAGAGAGAGAAGAAGAAGAAGAAGAAGAAGAAGAAGAAGAAGAAGAGAAGAAGAGAGAGAGAGAGAGAGAGAGAGAGAGAGAGAGAGAGAGAGAGAGAAGAGAGAGAGAGAGAGGGGAGGGAGAAAGGAGTAAAGAATAAGAAAGGAGAGGGAAGGAATGCAATTTAAAACTATTGCATCGTGCGGAAAAATATTTGTTTCGCGCAAAACAATTTTGCTGCACAAGAAAATATTTATCTTACATTAGAGTCATTTCTCGATAAACAATTGTTTTAATTTTCAAAAACGGTCGAAAAATAATATGCAGTTTTTAAATGCCAGATCAGACTATCTCAAGCGTAATGTAAATTTCGTTGCATGCGCAACGACATATCTTCTTACAGTGAGTGATTTTTTTAATGAAATGTATTCGCTAAAAAAACACGCACAGAGAAAAAGTCTATTTTTGTAAACAAATATACACAATCTCGGAGTGCAATTTTAATCCTGTAATATATTTTTCATATAGCAATTTTTTATATAGCAATATAGTTTACGGTGTAATTGAGTTAAAATGCAAAGTTCGTGCGACGTTAAAAGAGATCACAATTGAAGAGATATTTAAAGCTCAATGTGTGCAATGGAACGCAGCAAACGAAGGGATTAAAAATACGATTTGATAGAACGTGTTTTCAACAATTCAGGCCATCCGGTGTACATATCTCTTTAAAACATTACCAACGTGTCAGTGTCAGACGACCATCCCTTCAATCTCACCAGCAGAAAAAGCGGAAAACGCCGTGTGCGATATTTTTCTACTGTCACGAGCGACCGCTCGTCCCAAATCCTGGACAGAATCATAGGGTCTAGACGCGGATCAGGGTGTGTTCCGACCACAAGACTATATGGAAAGTCCGAAGTTTCTAATGCATTTAAGTCTCAAGATATCATTAGACGCGATTGTATCAAATCCAGCTAATAATAATGTAAAAAAAATTAAAGATAAAGTCGGAAAAAACATTCAACGTGAGCATCGAGTTAAATGCGTTCAGTGATTTCAAAAGAAAAAATAATTTATAACAATCCATAAGTTTCAAAGATATTACACTAAACAAAAAAAATAAAAATATTTTATAAATTTGTAAGCGATAGTACAATATCGATGTTTAAATATTTGATAATTAAATTTCAAAAAAATCAAAGTATGGAAATTCGAAATTTTGATATTAATGTTTAATGATAAATGCGTAAAACAATGCAAAGTTAAAATTTTAAAATTCAAATTTTAAATATTTAAAAATTAAAAGTGGGTAGATCTGTAGATTTGCAGAACAAAATATCTGAATGTAAAAATATTTTATGACAGTATTTGATACATATATTTGACTGTGTATGTTAAAATTTATAAATTCGGTGATTTGAGCATCAAATGCTTTAAAATACGATATTTCAAGGGTTTAAAGGATCAGAACTCAAAATTTAAAAAATGTCAAGATTTGAGGAAATAAATCTTACTGTTTTATATTGTTCAATTCATGAAATGGTAAGTCTTTGGTTTAAAAAAAAATAAAAAAATTTTTTTATTACAAAAGAGATTTAAAGGTAAGAAAAGTAATTGATTAATGATATAAGATTAAGTACTTTAGAGAAAACAATATAATACAAAAATTGCAAGAATTCGCAAATATTTGACAAAAACAACTCAATGTAAAGTCGAATAGTCAACTAATATTTAAAGGAATTAAATACGTAAAGCTCTAAGAATTCAAAACACAAATAAAAGATACAGAAAAGACTTTAGCAAGTTAAATCCATGTACAGAACTTTTTAAAAATTCTTTACAAATCTTCTAAAACTTGTAATATTAATTATCGGTATTAACCGAATAATTACTTACTAGCAAGCAATCCTGCAAATTACTAATGATATAAAGTTAATTAATGAAATTTCGTCATAAGCCAATCATATATCTACAGCAAACATCGTGGCTAATAAAGGATTTGAGGATTAGAAGTAGAGTTTCAGAAATTCCATCTCTAGATCTTCGAAAATTTCTCACAAAGACAGCTCAATTATTACTGTTTGCTATTATTAACAATATTAATAATCTGCTTTTACAATTACATCATCTTGAATAATAAAACGCATGAGAAATAATCTAAAGATTTAATTTTGAAGATGAAATTTTACTACAAATAAAGCTTTAAACATTAAAACCCATCTCTAAAGTAAATAGATAGAAGTAAAAGTATAATAGAAAAACACCTCGAACATAAGTTTTCATTACCTAACTTAATCTTAACAATATTAACAGTTTACACGACTCATTATTCTTGACGACGGTAATTAATTGAGTATATTCACTCGGATAATTAGGAACAAAATTACTCGGCTATTATCGCGAGCCAATCACGTCGCCGCGGCGGATATAGTAAATAACGTACGCGCGCGCGCTCGTGCACGTGTAACTTGAGAAGACTGCCAAGTTCTTGATCTTTGTAAAATCACACACGAGAATTATTCAGTCCTCGCCGACAATCGCGAAATTCAATGGCGACGACGCTCAGCGTCGCGACGTGGAAAGCCCTGAACTATCACGTTCGATCCGCTCGACGGCTGGAAGCGTACTAGCCACCCTTCGTAAACGCGCGCCTCCACCGAACGGCAGTGGGCGAACGTCGCGACGGCAATGAGAGGGAGAGAGGAGGTGGCGCCGAGAGGGTGAACGTCCCGCTACACGGGTGAACGTCTGTATCATCGTAATTTTTGATAGAGATTTCACCGCACACAGAAAATCCGTCCGACATAATTTCATTCTAATTTCTAACTCAATAATGAAAAAAATAAAACATTTTCAATTTTGAAAAGTAAATAAAACATGAAGTTTTATCACAATACGTCAATATATTTTTCGATCTAATATCGTTTTATATATTTCATAATTTGCCAGAATGTCGAGCATGATCCCACTTTCGAGAGTTGTGATCAAAGAATTTGAAAAGCTACATTGCAGCTAGATTAAAGTCAGCTGCTAAAAGCTGGAATTTGCGAAGATTCTAGAAAAGTTCAATATTGAGACATAAGTAGAATAGTACTTCATAACTATGGAAAGTTATGAAAGACGATATCGCGCGCGCAGAGTAATATTGCTTGTAGAGATCAAATATCAATACAACGTAAGGAGTTAGAATAAATATAAAAACGCTAGAATAGAAGTTCGATCCGTATTGAATCTCACATTACAATGATTTAAGATATAGGAATTCGAAAGTCCACATGACATTTTAATAAGAAATCTCGAAGAGAAGCAACAAAAGAGCCGACAATTTCAAGTTTTATCTTTGCGCAAAAAAAAAGTAAAATTATCAAGTGGTCGATAAATTCGAAAGCAGCATGGCGAAGCATATTCGATGAATGTTATTAATTTCTTATAAGCAAATTCTTTAAACTTGCTTTTGTAGAGGTAGAAAGCCGCGAAATTAACTGCGGAAATTTTCAGTCGCGTTTCTGCAGCGATGTATTAACAATTTAACGAGCCGACATCTGCCATGGCTATTATAGCGCAATTATATGGAACTAGCACCTCGTACCGCCAGCCTGGACTATTAGCGACACAGCATAATCCTACCCGGATCTAAGGATCCTGGAAACTAAGGATTTTCGTATCACCAAGTTAAATTAAATGTAGTGTAGTTTACTTTAACTTTACAGCATTACTATAATTACGTAATTATTATATATGAAATATAAAAATGTAGATTTAATAATATCGTTGCTTATACAGATTTGTGAACACATCACAGACTTGTGAGATTAAATAAATAAAAAATTTCTTGTTTTATATAACATTTTTTTACCTTAAGATTATCAGCAAAATATGACATACAAAATTGTTATATGTTATTATTATTATTATTATTATTATTATATACACTTATCTATCTATGAAAAATTGAACATTGTAGAACTATCGTCTTATATTAAAACCTGAAAAAAAAAGAATCATCGGTCACTGTACAGTAAAGCCAAAGCTCCGAAGAAACGATGACGGCAAGACGCCTTATTATTTCTGAAGTTTGACTTTTACTAAGCTTCGCGGCGAGCTTCTCGGCACGTCCTCGTCGCAAACAAGTCTCCTCGCTGCCGAAGCGAAAGCCCCGAGAATAGCCGCGAGTATCGACCATTCACAGTATGGATATAACGGTATAATACCCGAATAGTTACGATAATTAGCGTGGTGTATAACTTGTTAAGTATGCATCCGCATTGTTGATTAAACCTGCGTTGATTAAACCGTGATAGAAGAGAGATAAGTAAACTAAAATAGAATAACTAAACTTTCATAAAATATCAAACACTTTTATGCTAGAATTTTCGAAAACCTATAATATAAGATATTATAAGTTTTCAATATAATCAAATATGTTCATGTATTTGAATCAAACATACGTCAAAAATATTATTAAATATTATTAAATATTATTAAATTTAAAAAAATAAAATATTATTGAAATGACCGATGATTCTTTCTTTTCCAGGTTTTCATATAAGACGATAGTTCAACAATGTTCAAGTTTTTACAGATAAGTCTTGTATATTATAATAATAATAATGACATAAAACAGTTTTGTATGTCATACTTTGCTGATAATCTTAAGGTAAAAAAATGTTACATAAAACAAGAAATTTTATTTATTTAATCTCACAAGTCTGTGATGTGTTCACAAATATTAAATGAAATATTATTGAATGTAATTTAAAACAACAGCATGATTTTGTTTAAATGTTTAATTCAGTAAATTATAAGTTTGATAGCTTTAACAGGATCAAGCTACTTCACACATGCCAAAAATCTCAATGGCATTAAATTCCAAAAAAATATAGCTCTAAAAATCGAAAACTCGAATTTCCTGTAAGTATCGTATTTCATCTATACAATTATTTGTTCCCGTTAATTCTGTGTTTTTCCGAGTGACATGTATCGAATTGACATCGTTCTGAAGGGCTCATTCTGAAAATTAGTCACGACAGATTGGGCGGTTGCAGGGAGGAACCCCCTTCCCTCCTGTCATCCCCTTTCACATCGTTGCCGAATTACCGACCCTACGTCCTGTGAGTGACGTTATCACGCTGCATTTGGTGCATTTGATGCATCCGGTGGCCGAGCTACGGGAATGTCTGGTCGAGACAGCCGAGTCAGTGCATTCGATATTCCATATTGGGCTTTTGCTTACCAACAGGTACGCCCCGTTGACTCGCCATTCGTATTCATCCCCTGGATGCGAAAAGCGATATACAACGATCGAGAAATTATGCAATCCGTAAAATCCGGCTACCAAGTTTGTAGCGAAATTCGATTATTATATTTCTATTCAACGCACTTATAAATACGAAAACTTATCATATATTAAAAATTTTGCAAAGATTTAAAAATGTTAGAGTAACTTTTTTATTTCAAAAAATATAAAACTTTTGATCCTGCGTATTTGTTTTTCGACATTATTTGTTATTAATGGATGGGGCTCACTGGCTGTCCACTCAGCCTCTCCACAAAAAAAATTTTTTTTGCTAATCTAAACGAGCGCAAAATTTTTTCTTTATAGATTTGGTGAGCGCATAATTAGTGCATAATTATATAATTTTTTTATTAAATTTGCACAAAGTGGGAAGCTAGCTAAGCAGACGTGTTCAGTCTCGTCCTTGACACTTTGATTGCTCACATCGGACTGCAATAATATACAGAATGTTTGATAATGTTCGTGCCAACGTTTGGGTAGAGCGCGGTAAAATGAACAGATCTTTACCGCTTTGCAATTTTCGCAATAATAATTAAGATTATAATTAAAAAAGATTAATAAATGATAGCGCGGATAGCAATAAGAAATAATAGCATTATAGAGATTAGCCATTTCTGTCCGTTCGCTGTTGGATCTGTGAAGTTAGCACGACATTCCATTAATATAAAAAAACAATTACAGTTCCAGTCGCACTTTTCATAGTTCCACAGTTCCTTATAAAAATAAAAAAAAGTTCCGTAATTTTTATTGAACCAAGAAATCAAAAATGGAAGGATGTCGTGCTAACTTCGCGAATCTAGCACGACACCTTCCTCCCTAAAGTACAAAACGACGATAAATATTACCATTTTTGGCAACTGTTCCTGTTAGTACTACTCGAGTTCTACCATTGTGTGTAATTTGAAAACAATTCCAACAATTACCAATTATTACACACTTTGAGTATTAAACACAGCACGACACTTGGAGAAAAAATGTCGTGCTGAACCGCAGTTCTAGCGATAGTTCTCGTTAGTTCTAGCAGAATTCTATGCTCATTTCTTCGACCATCTTCAGTATACAGAGTCTAAAATGTTGTACTAGCTTTCATTTAGTGAGAATTAATTGCTAAATGTAACAAATTCGTCAAATGTGACATTAAGAGGCTGTGTTACGAATCGTTTTGTGAAATCAGTTCTAGCTCTAATCAGTTCAAAATCGGAAAAATTTACCGGCAATTAAATCTCACTAAACAAAAACTAGTACAACATATTAGACTCTGTATACTGAAGATGGTCAAAAAATCGATCAAAACGTCTATTATTATTATCATTATCGATTAAAGAAAAATTTTGGCAATTAAGATCCTGCTTTGGCCTTCGATTCTCCTTTCCCCACAACGATTAATAACTATTATTAAAAAATTGGTTAATAGTTACTAAATCATTTAGTTATAATAATTACATGATTTTGTGATTAATGTCAAATAATTAAGTAATTATTACAAAACAATTACTAAAAATTGGTTAATACTTACTAAATCATTTAGTTATAATTATTACATGACTTTGCAATAAATGCCAAATAATTTGGTAATTATTACCAAACCATTACTAAAAATTGAGTAATACTTACTAAATCATTTAGTAATAGTTACTAAATGATTTTATCACAAATATGATGTAGTAATAGTTACAAAATGATTTTGTAATAAATGCTAAATAATTTGGTAATTATTGCCAAACCAATACTAAAAATTGGATAAATCTTACTGAATCATTTAATAATAGTTACTAAATAATTTAGTAATAGTAACCAAATAATTTAACAACTATTGCTAAATCATTTGGTAACTATTGCTAAATGTTTTTGGTAACAATTACTAAATAATTTGAAAACTATTACTAAATTATATGGTAATAGTTACTAAATTTTAGGTAATAGTTAATAAATTATTGGTAATAATTACCAAATATTTGGTAATAATTACTAAATCACTCAATCGCCATTACCAAATATTTGGTAATAATTACTAAATCACTCGATCGCCATTACCAAATATTTGGTAATAATTACTAAATCACTCGATCGCAATTACCAAATATTTGGTAATAATTACTAAATCACTCGATCGCAATTACCAAATATTTGGTAATAATTACTAAATCACTCGACCGCAATTACCAAATATTTGGTAATTATTACTAAATCAGTTGGTAATGGTTACTAAATTATTTGGTTATAATTACTAAATATTTGGTAATGGTTACTAAATTTTTGGTAATAAATACTAAATATTGGGTAATTATTACTAAATATTTAGTAACTATTACCAAA